CTGTTATTCTGGTCGAGACTTGCCTACGTTTTTGTTTGATTTGATATTTTATCCATTGTTAGATCTGTACATCATATTTGCGTAATCAAATTGTCGGGTGAATTTCTTTCGTGATTTTGTTGTTATGTTGCTAATGATTATAAATTTTATCAACTCTGCTTACAAACTTGTCACGTATGAGGTCAGTCGCAATTGCTATCTCGCATATTTTCCTTCAATATTCATTTTATTAACCTACACATTTTTAGTTCACAGAGGTAGCGTCAAGTGGTAATGCCTGTGAGTTTCAATTGCTATTTCTTCATGGCAAATTTTTAGTTTGCATGGCTTTAGGCGTATCATTCCAAAATCGAGCATGAACTCGTTGTTGGGAACATGGCGCTGCTGCCGTTGCGTACGAATTTCAAGGGACCAGCTCCTCGTATGTTCCATCTCACTTATTTTCTTAGTTCACATTAATTCTGTTTCTTACAGTGCTACTTGTTAATCATTTTCCTGCCATCAATATGTTTAGCTAAAACACACTCAATTCTAACCATTTCCACACTGCGCCCGAAAGACCTAAGCGTTACTATATCACTCGGACTCAAATGCCTTTGGGATTTAGTGGGAACATTTTAGGGACCGATAATGAGCTCGACATAATTGATGAGGCCCTTATGTATTTCAAACCCAACATTTTCTTCCGCGAGTTCGAGATCAAGGGACCTTCCGACCGCACTCTGATCTATCTGACGCTTTACATCACGGAATGCTTGCGAAAACTGCAGAGGGTAAGCAGTATATATCATTGATGAAATCTTGAATTTGACATTCCAGAGCCCCAGCAAGATCTCTGGACAAAAGGATTTGGCTGCACTGGCACTCAGCCATCAGCTGCCGATTCCAGGAGAAGCAGATTTCCCTCTGAACAATATGTTCAAAGTAAGTTCTCTGATTTTTTTTCGAAAGTTTTGACATTGAAATTTCTTTATAGTGATTATTTGATGGACTTCATTTGCTTCAGGCTCCAGCAAATAAGCAGGAAGAGGAGACTATGCGTTCCTACCTGCAACAAATGAGACAAGAGCTGGGAATGAGACTTTGTGAGCTAGCATTCCCGGATCCTTCAACGAAACCTAGCAAGGTAAGCCATCTTTTTGAAATCGAAGACGCTTCTTACTGTCCTTGTATTGATAATGAAGCACTCCCAAAGTTTTTGTATAATGTTTCAGTGGTGGTTGTGTTTCGCTCGCAAGCGATTCATGGACAAAGGACTTGTAAGCCAAGGAGTTACCTTGTAATTTCTTTCTCTGGTGATTCTTTATCTGCTATATTTTTTATTGCATGTGATTTTCGCGTTACTTACTGTATAATGCAAATTATTGATAAATTGTCCATCAACCTGGTGTATCCAACATTCACTATGACGTGCGGTTCAAAAGGGAAAGTAGTCATTTTACAGAATTTATTTCAAGGCATACATTTTTAGTGTCTCTAACCAACCGACTTGACCAACTGTATGTACACAGATTATTGAAGAACTAACATTTACAAAGTTGACGAA